GTTTAGTTGGTGATGTCGTTCTTCCGCCGTGGGCCACAGGTGAACTTCCTGTCGACCGGCTGTCTGTGTGTCTCTGTAATATTAGGAGTCACGTGAGGAAGTAAGGGTTGCTGTTTCTTCCTCCAGATTCCAGTGATTTTCTTCAAAAGCACAAAGCCGCCCTGGAGAGTCAGTATGTGTCCGAACACCTTCATGAGTGGATTGACTTGGTGTTTGGCTTCAAGCAGAGGGGCAGTGAAGCTGTGGCGGCTCACAACGGTAACATAACCAACAGCTACTCTCAGTACAAGAGGCGCGAAAACATGCCAACGATTAATATTCATCTCATCGTTTTCCTTTCTAAGTGTTTCACCCACTGACCTATGAGGGCGGGATCGACTGTGACAGGTACAGAAAAGAAAATCCAACGAGAATATTTCCAAATGCTCATCCCGCCTCGTTGGCCTAACGTTTCCCCTCTGTCTGTTTGGCAAGCATTGAGGACACCGATCAGAGAATCGCCATGCTGACACAGATCCTGGAGTTTGGCCAGACGCCCAAACAGCTGTTCACCAGCCCTCACCCTCAGAGGATCACCCCGAGGTTTCAGAACATTACGCGAAGCTCGAGCATCAACTCACCCGACGCTGAGCTATCTCCAGGTAACACCGCACAGCACGGGAAGTGTGTGAGAGCCCTGCAGCTGCAGAGCTTTCTCTCTCATTGTTCAGGCTTAAGTAGCTAATAACACGATGCAACAGCAGCTGTGAGAGCTGAGCAGTGTTTCTAAAGCCCACACAGTTATGTGTTCACTACTCCTCTCTGGGAGGATGGTGCATGTCTCAGTGAGTGAAGCCAATCAACACAAACTCAAGATTAAAAAGAGTCACAAAACAATGAATTATTAATTTACTCCTGTTTTTGTTTTTTGTTTTTTTCTGGTTTTACTGAAGAAAAAAAAGTTTCATTTATGCACTTTCGGCTATATTAACTGCATCTTAATGTGTTTTGATATATAAAATGTTTTTCATAACCATAATAAGTTAACATGTAGACGGATCCCTGTGTTGTTTTGCAGCCTCTCAGGGCGAGGACTCGTCTTTCGAAGATCTCACCGAGGAGAGCAGGAGGTTGGCCTGGGCAAACATGGAAAGTCTGAAGCCCGTTTCCAGCCACAAGATCCATAAAGAGTGAGTCAGGAGCTGCTCTGTGGGCTGCAGTTACAGCAGAGTACAAATGTAACCACATACAGCAAAAGTGAAAGCCCTGCCTCAAAAATGAGGAAGTGAATTCAAAGAAAGCAGGTAGCAGGCAGCTGCAGGAGCTCCACACCCCTTCAGAAACTTAATACTAGTTTCACGACTACTTCCTTTAATAACAGACTGCTGTGTTATTCTAAACAAATTCTTCATTTCATGTGTTTTTTTTTATATACGTGTATATTTATGTTTTTTAAGTAACTTTGTTTCTGCTGTATGTGCAGAGCTGTGACAGGCATTGCTGTGTCTCGAGGTGGATCGGCTGTTTTCTCCACATCTAAAGGTTTGGAAAATGTCTAGACTGAGAAGAAATGTAGATGACTCAGATCTACTTGGAAACTCATTTTATTTTCTCTTTAATTAAAAAGCTGTTGAGCTAAAAGGATTAAGAGAAGGATGAATTACGGTTTGCTCCGTTCTGTCAGTGGAGACGTGTTTCACGCTGACGCCTCTCGCTCTCTATTACAGACTCGACACTTAAAATGTTTTCCAAAGAGCTGAAGGAGTTCCAGAGAAGCATGTCGTTCTCTAACATGGTACGCTCGCCCGTTCAGCATCTCCTTCCTCGGATCTCTTCTCCGAATCTGTTCCATTTCTCTGTAAACAGTAAACCACTCGACTGTTTTTCAGGCCTTGTCATCGTGTTTGATACTGGCGGACAGTAAAACGGTGGTGTGCTCTTCGTGGGACAACAATGTGTACGGACTGTTTATTCATTATATTTAACGTGGTTTTCAGAGAGTTTTGACGGCTTCTCGCTGACCTGCACGCTCCTCTCTCTCTCTCAGGTATTTCTACTCCGTCCCGTATGGCAGGCGGCAGGATACGCTGATGGGTCACGATGACGCTGTCAGTAAAATGTGCTGGTTTGAGGACAAACTCTACACAGCATCCTGGGATTCCACTGTTAAGGTAAAGTGTTGTCTCTATAACCCTTTTCAGACATGGGACATGTTACAGTGCTGGACTAATGAATTTACTGAAGGGAGAGGGCTATGCAGTATTTGTCATATGGACCAGATTGGACAGTACATCACATGATGAATAACACACGAGGCCCCTTTACTAATAAATAAGGAGGCAACATCGTAGACACATCAGACTCACACAAACGGTAAAATGATATCCTGAAAGCTTTCCCTGGACAGGAATGAGAATAGTGTTATTGCATCGTAGCTCGCACTCGTGCTGCTGTGATGACAGCTGAGAGTCCGGCCTGGTCAGGCTGCATGAAGCTAAACCTGGGTGCTCGTTCTGAAAAGAAGCCGACTTGTTTCAGTGCCAGCAGATGAACGCAGACTGAGGAAGACTAAGGACTCCATGTCAGAGAGAGGATGAACTTTTAGCGTTGTTTTCTGTGTGACCTTCACAGGTGTGGGAATGCAACTCTGACAGCTTTTCCACTCACAAGAGATCCCAGTTTAATTTGCTGGGTGAGTTGGAACATGATGCTGGGGTGAGTGACAAAACCGCAGCCACAGGTTTCATCAAGATCTTACAAACTTCATGTGGATTTAAATGCATCATAGTAACGCTGTGTGCATGTGTTATTGTTGGAAAGACTCTGACAAATAAAATGTTCATATTTGTCAAACACTGAGACATTTTAGCAGCGTTAAAAACATACGTAATAAAAACATGCTTGCTCTCTAACATTCAAATTCAGGTGAACACAGTCAGTCTGAACCCAGCTGGGACTTTGCTGGTGTCTGGATGTAAAGATGGGGCCGTCACCATCTGGGACCACAGCAGCCAAAGGACTCTGCAGCAGATCCACTGCCACAGTGGGACCATCCACCAGACGGACTTCAGTCCTGGTTTGTGTGAACGTGGAACTTTGAATTTTATGTTTAACATTTTAGGTGATCAGATCTGCTCGTGGAAGCTTTGAGTAAATAATTCCCTTAAGCTTAATGTTTGTCTCAGTACAGTTAAAGTGCATGTGGAGAGCACTTCTTCAGCTTTCTTTGAAGCGGCTGTTGGCTGCTTGATTCTTCTGTGTGAATCAAACAACCCTTTACTGCTGAGCAGGAAGAATTTCTGTTGAGAAATTACAACTCCCAGACTCATATGTATTATCCAAAGACACGTGTGTGATTATACCACTTTTGCATTCTCAGATAGCCGACACGTTCTCAGCGTTGGAGCCGACTCCTGCATGAAGGTTATCGACGTCCAGACGGGAATGGTGATCTCCTCTGTGAAAGCTGAAGAGGAGCAGAGGTTTTCCTAGCAATCCAGAACTTTGTATTTCACTTGTTTCTTTGTGCTATGTTCAAAGCATTTAGCAGCATGTTTGTGTGTGCAGGTGTTTCTGCTGGGATGGAAACTGGGTGCTGTGTGGGGGCCAGTCTGGTGACCTCCTCCTGTGGGACCTTCTTACCAACACAGTTACCAAGAGGATCCCTGCACACTCAGGTAGAGCTCATCTTCAGTAATCATTGGGTGGAGTTTTTACCCCCGTTTTCAAACTTCTGCTGCTGCTTTGTTTATTGGCTGTAAAACCAGCAACAAGAAGGAAAGAAAATCTGCTACATTTGTGATTTTATTTACTGCCAGCTGAACGAATTGGCAGGAATGAATAGACAAATTTACCAGGAACTTCTGCTAATTCATTGTCCTGAATGACCCTGACTCATAACATAAAGTTGTTAGTAAATAACAGAAAATGGTGGGCCGGATTGGAGCCTTTGCTGGTCGATTCTGGCCCCCGGGCCTTATGTTTGACACCCATGTCTCTAAAGTATTGGTCAGATTTCTGTGAAACTTGCACAGAATAAAAAACACACAGTTCACTAATCTCTGCTAAATCTGTAATATTTGATTCAGAAGATGTCACTGGATGCTAATTTGGCTAATATGTTTGTGTCACTAATGTAGTAAAACCTTACTACATGGCGTTATAATAAATGTATCAATTAATAACAATATAGGCTAAGGAATATTATACATAAATCCATGTACACACAGGTGCTGTCACAGCCATGTGGATGAGTGAGCTGTGCACCACAGTGATCACAGGTGGAGAGGACCGACAGATGATCTTCTGGAAGCTCCAGAGTTAAAGTTCCGTCTCTGTGGGGGAGATAAAGACTCCCAGTGCAATATCCTGGACAACACAGGCCAAGTATCCTGCTGACTGCCTTTGAAAGAGACTCACAAAGGACTTGAGACATGCTGAAAACATACTCTAAATGTGCAGCATCTCAGAGGAGTTGGCTCTGAACTGTTTTTAATCCAAAACCAAGCAACAGGCCACACGTCTTAGTATTCATTGATGTCTGCATCTTGGGAGAAAATGTCTACTTACAGTTTCGTGCATGAGAGACGGAAGCAGAAGTGTACGTGCCTGATTTTTCACTTCAGTTTTTAGCCTGTTATACATACATACATGTGGACTTTGCCTAAATTTATTAACTGTTAAACATCACGTAGCTAATCTCTTCCTAACCTCCCTCCACAGCTCCCTAAAGGATAAAGCAGGTGTAGTTGGTGGATGGATTGTACCTTGTTTTTAAATAAGCAATCATGTTTCAGTAGCTTTATGTGAATTTTAATTTTGCAGTGGATTTACAGTGTCTGTCAGAGCTTTATGGTGCTCAGGTTTTATTAATAAATCATGGTTGCCTCTAAAACGTCTCCTACGGATCATCCTGTATTTTGCAATATTTCCACAACAAAAAAAAGTAAAAGTTTAGTAAATGCTCATGCTTTTGGATTTCATGTCAAGAGGAAAGACAACTTTAATCAATATATCAGAGGTATTTTGGTTATTTACAGTGTCAGTGATGTTTGGACATCCAACAAACACTGGGGCTAAACCCAGACTACCCAGTAACAAACAGAACCATTTCTATATTGATATTTGATACTCTTGGTTACACCTCTTGGTCAAAATTCAAATAGACTACAAGTCCAGCAGCTCAGTTAACAGTTTAAAGGTCACTCAGCCAGTAGGTGGTGCTCTTTGCACAGAGAGAATTCCAGTCGGGGATGGAAGAGCTTCGCATCACCCTGAACACCTAATAATGAAACTGAGGATAATTTTTGCCTTTTTCTTTTTTTAATATATAAAGTCGATCATTTGCATGACACAAATTTCAAACAGTTGTCCTCTCCTGTTACAGACGGTTCTGTGTATATTGATGAATCCGCAAAGAGTGTGGGGGAGAATATTAGCGCTTTCCGATCATAGCACTTTGCTGCTTCCAGCAGACGTTTGAACTGAAGAGTATCAGGTCACATAAACCTCTGAATCACAACAGCTCTTCTGGTCGCTGTAGACCGGTTCCATTATGGGTCTTTTGGTAGCAATGGAAAAGTAGAAGACACTCTCAATAACACTCCACATCCACTTCCTATTTCGTCTCTTCCATTTTCTGTGGACAAGAAGACAAAGTGATGACAGGACCCAACATCACAAATACTTTAGCCATCAGTGCTTTTAAACGGCCTACAGCAGAACACGCTTCCCCACATCACGTTTACCTTGAGTTTTTTCATATTTGCAAAAGCTCTGAGTAGCTTGGGCGTTGGTGGCTTTGGTCCAAACAGAGCCAGTCCTTTCTGCTTCTCCTCATTACCTTGAGCAGGTACAGCTCCTTTGGCTTTGACTAGTTTCCTTCACAGTGACAAAAACACCACACATTTTTAAAAGGATGCATATTTAAATTTCATTTAACGTAATGATTTGGATGGAGGTTTGGAGGGTATATGATACTTTTAAATTTGAATGAAAATACGGTTCCTGAAGCACTAATAAGCGGCTCACCTGCCCTTCCTGGCCAGCACCTTCTCAGACTCCGGGTAGTGGACGAGGATATCAAACAGGTCTTTCTTCTCCAGCACAAAAAGGTTAGCGAAGCCGTGAGCTTTTACATTGGCTGTGCGCCTGTTTCCTCCATCTTTAGCAGACTGCAGTAAACTGTGGTTGGATAAGCAGACCAAAAACAATATGGCCTACTACTATGGCCAAAATAAAGCAACACAACCACTGCGCAATGTACACAACTTCACAAAAGCAGCATTAAAGACGTGATTAAAAACTGCTAGATTTTTTTTTTTCCTCCTTAGATTATCTCCACCCAAAGTTAACGTGACATCATCGTAACAAAGGTTTCACAGCATCAGCTGTCCTTCCTGATGCTGCAGACTTGCCTGATTTCCCCAAACACGGAGCCGGCCTTCAGCGTCACAAACACAATGCTGTTGTCGGGTCCTCCCACCACCTGCACCGCTCCACTTTTGATGATATACATCTCTTTACCGATGTCACCCTGCAGAGGACAGATCAGCGCAGTGACACTCGGCTCAGGTCACCTTGTTGCTTCATGATGATCAGCACAGTTCAGAAATATGTTGCTTGCTACTTTGTAGCCGTGTCGTTACCTACAGACATGTATACACATATGTATACACCAACCTTCTTCACAACAAAGTCTCCGGGTAGATAAATGATTGACTTGAGCCTCAGTAACATGTCCACTAACATCTGCTGGTCACAGCCCTGAAGGACAGAGTGTAGTGAGTACTGACTTTCACTGAATCACAGAAGCTCTGCTTTGCTTTACTCATCTCTGAAAGCAGCCAGCATAACTTCATTACACTTCACTACAGTTCATTATCCGTCCACTCACACGCCCTTTCTCTAATACACTTTCTATGGTACTAGAGCGCTGAAGCTTAAGCAGCCTCACCTGGAACAATGCAATCTTCTGGAATGTGGCAAGGTTGATGTCCACAGCAATGGCAATTCTCATCACCAGAGGCATCTTGTCCAGGAGCTCGGACTCATCTGAGAAGGACAGACAGTGTGATTCCATGTGAGCACAATCCAGATTTTTAGTCTGTGCATTTTTGCGGCTCATTATTAGTCATGCTTGAATCCTTAAGGAATGGCTGAGTCTTTTTCATTACCTCAGCTGTAACGTCAATTCATTTCAGCTGCAAATCATAACAGCTGTTGTCTCAAGATGCTTTATATTGTAAGGTAAAAACCTCACAATAATACAGAGAAAATTCTTAACAATCAAACGCCCTATGAGCAAGCCCTTGGTGACAGTGGGAAGTAAAAGCTTCCTTTTACCAGGAAGAAATCTCCAGCAGAACCAGGATCAGTGGCCACGACTCGTTTTCTTTTGTTTGTTTGTTTTTATATAGAAATGTATTTGTGTGGATGAATATTCCCTGTTCCCCATTTAAACTCATCAGCTTCTTCCGGTGAGGACACAACTGAGAGGTATACATTTCTCACCCAGCATTCCCTGAGCTGCCCAGGTGTAGTTGTACCAGGTGCGGACTCTGTTCTGGACTAGTTTGGGGATCGTATAGGTGTTCATGTAGGAAACACATCCGTCCATTGACGCCCGGAAGTATGTCTGAGCTGCTGTAGCTGCTCCTATGACATCTCTCATCTGAAAGAAAGGCAGAAATGTAAAGTGTCACAGAGAAGTCATAGATATTAACAGGTGGAATATTAACATTGAAGAATATCCTCCTACCTGTCCGATCAAACTCGAGAACACAAAGACACCAATAAAGAAGTTAGCCATCTGAAAGGAAATCTCAAAGGTGGTTACAGGTTCCGGTAAACCCCCGATGTTGATCAGACTGCGAACTGCAAAGTAGTAGCAACGCAGGTACCTGCGCAGGGACAGGAGTGAGAAGACAGGAGTTATCCACAGCTACAGACGGCATGTCGTAAATCTTTTAGTTTACTGGGATCAACAGGAGCATGGTACGCCTTTATGCTGTGTAAAGCTCTAACATGGTCCTAAGAGACAGGCCAAGAACTGTAACCCTTTCATGCATGAATTATAACAACTTCAATCAGGATTTTTTTCACAAGTATTTTTATTCATCTTTAGGTATGAAAAAAATATTTTTGAACTTCATTTTTTTTAAACATGTAGTTTTTTACATGTCCACTAAGGTGGACAACTGGCTGACCAGTGGGTGGCAGAGTATGTAGTGACACATCAGTGTCCAATGTTTATGTGCAAGTATACCATCAACACTGACACCAATACAAGAAAACAGCCTTTGAATAGCTGTGTCCACTGTAGTGACCACTATGCATGAAAGGGTTAAAGAACGGCGTTACCACAGATGAACATAAAATATAAACATTTTTAAATACAGGAGTATTAAAACAGAACAATACGAGTTCTTTAAACTGAATTCAAAAGCGAGCGATGTCAGTCAGGACTCTAAGTCAGCCGACGTCACTCAGTGAACAAAAAGTCAAGAGCAAGTCACTCTGTCAGCATCAGTATGGTTAAACGTCCTCAGGAGCGCCGCATTTGATTTGCATAACGCTGAAAATAATTATTAATATCAGAGAGTTTAATCAATCTGCAGTTAATTAATGGATTAGATTTGTAGCTCCCAGCTAAGATGAATGCCAAAACACAATTCTTAATTAATATTTAAAAAAAGGATAAAGCAGAGCTGGTCTTTGTTCAGGAGGTACTCTTACAAAAATCACGGAGCATGCTGTGCACGTTAGGATACAACAGAGGGCGCTGCTGATCTCCCCAAGCACACGCAGCACGGTAAATAATCATCTTCATCTGCATACTGCATACCAGCACGCAAAAAACATGTGCATATGTGTCATTAAATAATGAAATGGATTTGGTTTTGGAAACACCAAGTTATAATATTCTTGGTAATGATGAAACTTTTGTTTCACCGTGTCACAACATCGCTACATAGACACAGCTTGACTTGGCCTTGTTAAGCTTGCCTTTAAATAGAGAACCCCTGCTCTCTGCTTTTTGTTGTTTGAGATTATTTATACACATCTCTCTCTGAGTTTTAAATTGTTTCATTAAAAGGAAAAATGAAATATTTTCTTTTGAAATGACATGTTTCAGTTCCACGGTGAACTCCAGAGTACAGTGTAGAACTTTAGGTCCCAAACTGGTGTACATACGCTGTGCCATTCCCGTCATACACCCATGTAGTTGTGGCAAGACCCTGGTGCACTGAGGCGACGTAGTAAGCACAGGCGTTGAGGTGAAGCATGAAGAGCAGGTAGCCTGTGGTGCGGGCAACTCTGTGTCAGAAAGACAGAAATGGTGACGCTAAAGCTACAAAACAGTGACACCATGCGATTCACGAGCAGTCACCTCCAGATGTAAGCTTTGGCCATGACACTCTCAAGTCGATCACTGAACTCAAAGAAGGAACCAATCTAAAACACACAGGGGGAAAAGTAAAGGAACTTATCAGAAAATGTAATGGAAAAAAAGTACAATAAAAAGAAGTTAGCATCCTCCTGCCTACCCTGATGAAGCGGTTCAGTCGGTAAAACGAGGAGAATTCAAAGTACAGGCAGAGCAGGTCGAAGGGGAGGATGCTGATTATATCAGTCTACACGGAACAGAATACAAACATTTGTTAAACTTTGGATTTTGCTGCAAAGCTCACAGATATGAAAGAAGAATAAAAACTGGTTCAGTAAAAATATAAATATAACAATGCAAACTTCTAACTGCAAAAATGTGGATAAAAAACAAATGCAGTGTCACCATCTATCCATCTATCCAAATCTATATATTTAATGTTGTACCACTTTATAATACGGTCTGCAAAAAAGACAGAGTAGAGAAAACAATGAAATAACTAGATTGTAAGTAAGTGTAAGTACTGTGTGAGTCATTTTAAGAAAGTTTTGCATGACTTCAGGTATTTTACTGGAAAGGAGACATAAAATATTCTGTAAGTTATTTTTATGTATTATGTAATTTCTTGGTAATATTGCACAAAAACAAACAACATTTCCCATTCTTACATTGCAAGTGCACTTTACAGTCTTTATCACACATATATTAGTAAGATAAAAGGACACGTGAAAAACAGAACATCGATCGTTCACAGCAACATAATGAATATTGCATAAAGATGTAAAAAGGTAAGATTAATCCACTCTATAATACGACCCACGCCCCAAAAACTACAGCGTTTGTATGATGTAGAAAAAGCGTTTTTCTGCAAACTTACCATGAAATTGGACACAACTTAAAACTGCTTATGCAGTACTTAAATTTACTTAAACTACAATCATTTCTTTATTTCCTGCAAACACTTTAGTTTTAACTTTCTTGTTCTAGTGTGCCTACCTGTCAATATTTGTAGGTACATTTAATTACAACGTAATACCAAATAATACATCTTTAGTCGCCTTTAGTGTTATAAAGTGTTTAATTTAATTCAAACCATTTAATAAATAGGATTTTATTTATTTATTTCTAATATATGCTCATTTCATGCCAGTGCCAGTGCTTGTTGTTTTGGACATTAAGGCACTCATTTATGGAGTCTTGGATTTGGAATATGTGTAGTTTGGCTTTATCTTGCTGAAATAAGCAAGTACCACAATTCCTGACATTATGTTAATTGTGTTATTTTTCAGTTGTTGAACAAAACTGTACTTAACTGGAGTACTTAAGTAAATGTATTTAGTTACTTTACACCATTGGACACATGTTCTCACCTTAAATTGATGTGATTTTCGATAATGTAGCTTAGTCAAAGCTCTGTCTTTCTGCAAGCAACAGAGGTGCGAAAGTCAATTAGACTATTAAAATGTTATCAGGTACATGTGATTGAGTGGTTTGTGACTTACAATGATGTCTCCAGCTTTGACAAACTGAAGGCGAGGCTGCCAAACAACGATGTCTATTATATTTACAATGTCGCTAAGAATGTCGAGGAATATCCAGTAGCGGTTGGCAGTTTCACTGTGGTAAGGGAAAGCCAGCCTGGCGGAGCAAAACCAGACGTTGTAATTGTACGCCAATGCCACGAAGCTCAACCAGGAAATGTACCGACGATCTGGAGAGAGAATGACAGAAATGTCTGTCAAGTATTTAAAGGCAAATACAAGAAATTCATTGAGCTTAGGTGTGATGCTTACCTGTGAAAGGATCAATGGTGGTCCCCAAGATGACATCCATTTTTTCCTCCACTGGATGGAAGAGGACGTCAAAGCAGGAGCAGCTGATTTGTGGGAGGATCCTTTCTTTCTTCTTGGCCTCCTCTGCCAGTCTCTCCTCCTCGGCTTTCTTCTCGGCCTCCAACCTTTTCTCCTCATCTTTTTTCTTCTTCTCTTCTGCCTTTTTGGTTGCTTCCTCCGCCTTCTTCTTTTCTGCTTCTTCCTTGGCTATGCGCTCCTCTTCCTTCAGTCGGATGTAGTCATCCTTTCTCAGAATAGGTGCTAAAAGGCAAAAAAAGAAGCATACGATGACTTAAGACATTAGTTTGCATGTTGTTGTTTTTCTCTCTAAGCATGCTGGCTTGTTTTTGACCACACTTACTGACAGGTGGTGTGACTTCTGGAGATGTGGCGTAAGGGTCTATGGCCTTCTCTTTGAGTATCTCTGTGCGTTCTTTTAACTTCTTGGCTAAAAATCGGATGGTGTCGTCTGTGTAGCGGGAGTAGACAACAGGTGGAGGAGGCGCTTCTTTGCTAAAAACAGATAAATTAGAATAAAACACGCAACTCATAGCTTTAGGTAGACACCGGGAGAGACGACAGCAGCGCTGCTTTTCCACTTGTTAAACAGGCATTTGTTACATTTCTATGACATTAATATATTTCCTCAACATTCCCTTAAAATTCTATTGAAGCAACTCCAGCTTGCATGAGAACACAGGCAGATCAATCTCAGTCACAAATACCACTATAAGCTCCTAATCTTCTTTCCTCCTTTATGTGTCACATGCTGCAAGTCACAGTGTTATCACATCTTGAAAAGTAAGTGTTGAAGGTCTCCAGAGACCTCTCTCATTGGGGAGGGGGTGGGGACTCTGTGGAGTCATCAGTCCTTACTGTTAGATACCTGTTAGATATACCTGTAACTATTCTTGTCCTCAAGCGGCTCAGAGTTCATGAAAACAGAGGAGCTAAAGGAGAGCCAAGTTATTCTTAGTACAGTTAACGTGTCCTGGTGCAGTGCCCGTACAGGGACAGCGTAAACCGGGTTGTTCTACAGATGCCCCTAAATGCCTCAAATGTAGGCAACTGGTTGCTGTGAATACTAACAGACACGCACATGATGTTAGAGGGTGTTTGGAGAATGAAACCAGCTTTAAAACACTCAGGATGTGTTTGATTGACTTTCATCTGTAATTCAGGGAGTTTAACAAAAGTATTACACTAACTGTTTAGGAGTTGCAGCAAATTTTTTCTATAGTCCCCCATTTTCAGATGCTTAGAAGTAATCAGTTAACCATAATTTTAAAATAGTTTTGTTTCTAAGACTGGTCTGGATGTCGTCAAATACCCTGTTTTTGCCCTTGAGTTGCTTTTACGGCGGCTGTTGCTTGTTTGTGTCTCTCTCTGTATTCAGGTTTGTATTTAAGAACTGAAAAGCATGCTTGGGTTGAGATCAGGGGACTCACTTGGGAGTTGAAGAATAGCTCATTTCTTTACCTTGAGAAGCGCTTGGGTGTCTTTTGCAGTGTGCTGTGGGTCATTATCCATTTGTGCAGAGAGTATAGCTCTGAACACTTCATCCTGCTACTTCTATCAGCAGCCTCATCGCAAATAAACACTAGCAGCCCAGTTCCACTGCTAGCCGTACATGAGTTGCTTCTTTCTTTCTCCATACTTTTCACTTCCTATCATTCTGGTTCAGCTACCAAATACAAGCTCAACACTTAATTAATTAACTCCAGATATTTGATCTGCTCAATTTGTCACGAAATAATGGAGCTGAGCTCATCTGGCCATGAAACTGCTTGCCAGTCAATTGTCCAATTACATTTGTGATTCTAATGATGGAGGGTTATGTATAAAAATGGCTGTAATTACAAAACTAATAACGTAATAATTGTTAATGCCCTTAAATAAGCCGAAAAAGGAGTACAAGCATGATGAATTCTTACCCTTCAATGTCCTCTGGATTGGCAGGAGCAGCAGTGGGAGCGGGAGCAGCAGGTGCCTGCGCAGGAGCTGGAGCTGGAAGAAAAATATAACATCATTCTTTAGCTTTTCATTTCTATGACTGTTACAGAACCCCCACTGAAAACCTTCAGATTCTATACTGTAGAAAGATATTTAAAAAACAATTCAAGTGCAAAGTTCAACAACCAGAGCAGCATCATGCACCGCATGCTTATTTGACATTCAGCCCTCTATTCTTACACATCCCGAGGGATGCTGTTCGTATTTTAAACCACTGGTACACGAGGAAAAGATCACCACAGCATGAAGGAAGGCTGTTTCTTATTGCTTACTTTAGTACAGCAGTGGGAACCTAAACTTTCCCAAGACAGTGCTCACTGTTTGTGATACAGGATCAGCCAGATGACACCAATCCCTTTGTCTGTGATTCACAGAGAAACAGGGAGCAGATGGACAGTCTAACAATCCACTAAAAGACACATTTAGTGAATCTACAGCAAGGTCAGAGAGTGTGACATATAACAGAGCGAACCAACACCTCTCACATCTGTGGACGATGGTACATACTGACCAAAAAACATTCCCTTCAAACCACTTGACCATCACCCTAATAACAATGTAACTGAATGTGGAACTCAGCTCAGATAAACACGCATCTCACCTGTTTTTGGCTCTTCTTCTTTCTTCTCCTCCTTTTTCTTTTCCTCCTCTTTCTTTTCTTCTTCTTTCTTTTCCTCCTCTTTCTTTTCTTCTTCTTTCTTTTCCTCCTCTTTCTTTTCTTCTTCTTTCTTTTCCTCCTCTTTCGTGGGCTGATCTTCTTTTTCTTCTTTCTTTTCTGGCGGCGTTTCTTGCTGTAAATTAAAAACACAGGCAGAGGGAAGAGAACAAATAGCAGTGATTAGCCTGCCAGTGTAGTATCAACCTGTGCAGCACCAGCCTATGTTTTGAAGAAGAACCAGTGACAGCTCCTGTCCATATTAGTGTCAAGCTGCCTCAGAGGCTTTCACCTCCTGTTGTGTATTTTAATACAACTCAGTCTGACAAGCTTGGAGAAGCCAATGAACCTGATTAATGTTTAATTTGAATGGTGTGTCCACTGGATGAACACAGTGTTTGTCAAATTAAAATAAAGGGAGATTTAAGCTCTTACCGTAGCCGGTGGAGCCGGGGCAGAAGGCGGAGCGGCAGCAGCCTGGGCAGGACAAGGCTCAGGAGCCCCGATCAGCTTCTTTAACCTGCTGAACATGGCCAGACAGAAAAGAGTCTGACCTTTCCACTGCTTCTTCTGCAAACTTCTTTTTTTTAGATGTTAGGTCTTTGAAAGAGTACCTGAACTGCTTGTTGTGGAGTCTTTACCTCAAACCTGAACAGCAGACTGAAGCAAATAAAATTCTAGGAATCAGTAAGTCCCTCTAGGCACTCCCCTTTCTCCAGGAGCCAACAGCAGCTCAACGAGCTGAGCTGACAATCACTGCCAGCAGAAATAATGGGTCTCCTGGAGTTGTGAGCACAGCCCAGAAAGAAGACTTTTACCAAAAAGCACCAGTGCTATTTTTTTTAATATGTTAGCGAATTTATATAAAAACCTATACCTGATCAACGTAAGCTGGAGGAGACGGCAGGTAAAAAGAGTATAATCAGTTTCTGAATATCCTGTATCATGGATAACATTAAATTCACTGCAGTAACCATCGGTGCTACGATGAAAGTAGCTGGTGTAATGCTTGGTGTATTTTAGTCTGTGGGGCTCACAAAAACAGAGGCAGCTGAATTAATCGGCCCTCGTACTGTCACTGGCAGGTGAGGATTAGCCTGGATGTGACCTCCTGCTCTCACAAACACAAGGCTAACAGAGAAATACACTGAATGCAGTTCAAACATATTTATTTATTAAAACTCAGTCAAATAATATAAACTGTCAACATTATTGTCACCATGCTTCTTACTGACTGATAATCTCAGGCAGGCTTCCACGCCTACAGTGGGAAAAACGACCGATTATACTGTATAAAAACCATATGAACGAAGTACATACATAGCAGTGTCCACTAGGGGCAGTAGTTGAGGTACACATGGTCTTGGCTTGTTGTTATTATTAAATTAGACAGAATGACACACAGAGCAGTAAAACTATCATCTGAAAGGTGCTTTCAACAGAAATGAGTTCATTTCCATGAGAGATACATTTTCTTCACTCCAAAAAAGGGGTTATTAAAAAAAAACTTTCCATGCTCCTTATTACTTGGTACTGGAAGTCTGGGGAAAAAATAAAAGACAAGCACAATGACTTTCATGTAATAATCACTTGGGGTGCATTTATTAGGACAGAACGGTGTAGTTACCTTCATTTTGTCGATAAACGTTTTGTTAATGGTCCCGCCGAAAGCGCGCAGCAGTTTGGGTGTGGGGGGTTTGGGTCCGAACAGCGCCAGTCCTTTTTTCTTCTCTTCTTCAACTTTAGCTGCTGCTGGACCTTTGGCCTTCATTAGTTTCCTACAGAGGTACAGAGGTTTGTTTACTACAGCAGCATTTATTATTATCATGTGGAAACTTCATATCTCAGGGATTACATGTGTACTTATGCGTCACACTGACAGGAAGGGGAAGCTCACTGTTCAAAGGTGTCCCAGCCTGATGAACATCACCAACAGCCCTTTTTCTGACGTCCACATAACACTTTTCTTTTCGCTTTGTTTGTAATCGTGCTGTTTTAAAGATCAGGCCTTGAAAATAAAAATAGGTCCACCCACTAACATGTGATTGTTTTCCTTGTGTGTAAAACTACCTGACTGGAATTTTATCTTAAAAATCGCTGCCATTTATACATGTTCACATACTTCCCCCCTCACAGATAGTGTATCATTGGTTTCCAGTAAATAAACCACCAAGTACAGAAGTTATTTTGTGAAATCAGCAGAAAATATTGAGTCAAATCCTTTGACTCACCTGCCCTTTCTGGCCAACACTTTCTGCGACTCCGGGTAATGAACCAGAATATCAAACAGGTCTTTCTTCTCCAGGACAAAGAGGTTGGCGAAGCCGTATGCTTTGACATTAGCTGTGCGCCTGTTCCCTCCATCTTTGGAGGACTGCAAGAGACTAAGAAACAGAAAGAAAACATTTCACTGTTCACTGATTGTGATTAATTGCCTCTGATGTTGATTAATTATCAGTATATATTTGTGCGCGTGTATCTGAACTCACCTGATTTCCCCAAAAACACAACCAGCTTTTAGTGTCACAAACACAATGCTGTTGTCGGGTCCTCCCACCACCTGCACCGCTCCACCTTTGATGATGTACATCTCTTTACCGATGTCACCCTACAAATAATTTACACAAATAAATTACTGAAGGGATGTTTTATGTGTATGTGCTTATAAAGGGCATTTTAGCTTTAAAAGAAGCCTGTGGTGGCCTTTTATATACACAGAACGTCTGAGATTAAAGTCATAAATTCAGACCTACAAGAACTCGGACATTCTTTGATATTAAAGTTGTAAATTTTGGAGGAAAAAAAAAGTATTAACCTAAAAAAAAATCACTGTCATGGGCTGTTTCCTTTGATCCTGCATTTTGAGTTTCATTCCTTTTTGTATTATGATGTTCTTGTTTGTGCAGTTTAGGCTTCAGCCAGTTCTGCTGATATTGAGCTCTGTTTCCCTATCCGGTCGTTAAGTGATGACGTGACGAATCCTACTTCCGGGCCTAAAGTAGTCTGCGTTTAATATGGCTTTTGTGTTGTTAACATGTTTAATGTTATGTATTTTCTTCTATTTGATCTCAAAAAGCTCCTAAAA